GCCAGGAGTTGGTTTAGGGGAAGGAGCAGGAGAGCAGATGACCTATGGAAAACCCTGTCTGCAACAGCAAGTGCTGGTCCCCAGCATGCCAACTCCCTGGTGTCATGTCACCTGTGCACCCACCTCCCTGGAGGTGGCCAGCCACCTTTTCCTGGATGGAAAAGAAAATCCTGATTGGAAATAGGGTCAAGACCTCCCCAACGAACACCCCCTTCCAGGTTCACATCAGCAAAACGTGGAACTCCACCACAAAGGTTAAAGCCACGCAGGCTCCTCCAAAGCATCTAAAACACCAATAAGACTCTCTTTTCATTCACAGCGCCACCCAACTCTAAGATCACACACCGAGTTCTTCAGGTTTGGGGACACACTGGGACAGTTTTGCCCTTAGAAACAGAATCTCGGTGTGTTAAAGAGAATTTGAAGGCTGGGGTTTCTGTCCCTTGCTTCAGTTACACACATATTCTTCCCTGCAGGCCAGGTTCAGTCCTTTCAATATCTAGAAAACAGGGTTTTCTTCCCAGTGGTGAAAAAGAGATGAGGTTCTAGCAATCCCCTCTCCTCCCTGGCAGTGAACTCTCAAGATGTTCTATATAAAGATCAAGATCTTCTATATAAAACACAACACAGCTGCCTGCAGAAGCGCTTCAGGACAAGCTCCACAGGCCAGCGCTGTGTGAGAGTCATTCAGCACAGGCTGGACACAACCCTTGGCTCCACCTTGAGCTGTGAGCTGGCACAGCCCCGCTGCACAACCTGCTGACTCAGCCCTTCTGGGTGCTTACCAGCAGTAACCCCCCACATGAGCTGCTAGAGCAGACCCAGGGCTGCTCTCTGCTGTGAGGGCACAAGCATCGCAAACCTGCAGCAGAGACACCCTGAAGCACTGCCAGCACGGCCTACAGGTCAGGCCAGGCTTAACCAAAGCCATGATGCAATTCCCCCTCCTGGAGCACATCCTCTGTGCTGCTCCCAAAAGCACCCTTCGCTGCTGTTGAGGTATGTCTACAGAAAAGGCTTTCCCACTCGGTTCCACAGCAAATGTAAAGCAAACCCCTGACCCTGAGAGCTGAGCTGGAACCCCTCTCTTCATGGTCAGCAGCCACACAGTTCCTCTGCTGCCAGCCATGGCATTAATCCAGGACATCAAATGAGTTTTCTTACTCTAGATAGGCAAGTCGTCTTAAAACATCTTAAAACCAGAAAGTGAAGCTTGTGGTTCAGAGACAAGTCAGGAAACAAGAAGAGGCAATGCAGCTGATAGCTGCAGTGTTAAGAGACAATCCGAGCCTCCTGCTTAGTCTTTGCTCTAAAGGCCAGTGTCAAGGAGCTCACCAAAAAAAATCAAGCTTTGAAGTTAAACCTGATCTGAGAGTGGCCAGCATGTTCCAAAACTGTCTCAGAGGAAACAGCCCAAACCCTGACAACTGAGCTGCTGGAGAGGGGAGGAAGACCCTTTTCGTGGTGATCCCCCTCCAAAGCCAACTTCTCAGCCTTCCCCAGGCAGACCTGTCAGCCCAACCTGGACAACCATGCAATGGGAGGTCACAAACAACTTGGCACATGTACCAGGATGACAGAAAACAGTGGGTGGGTTAAGTGGGGCCTTTGGATTCACCACAACCTGAGCAACCAGCTCCCTACAGACAGTGGCCATGCAAGCCACAACCCCAAACCCCGCTGGTGCTTCATCTCTTGCCAAGGCTAAGAAGACAAGTTGTGGGTTTAAAATCAGACCTAACTTATCTAAATGATTCTAAAAGCCTGTTGTCTTCTAACGAAATGCAGCTAAATGTGTCCTGTTAGTGAAACGCAGCTAAGAAAACCTTCTGATCACCTTAAATACTCCTGTGGTAACGGGTTTAGACCCACGACAACCTCGGTGTGGGCTGAGCTGCAGCATCAGGGGAGACCAGCAGCTCCCAGCCTGGATCTCCGTCCTGCTGCTCACTGTTCTTTATAAGCACAGCTCTAGGAGCCAACCATCACCACAGACCCGTCCCCTCAGCTGTGAATTCACACACCACCTTCAAGCCTATCCTCCCTTTCACCGTTTTCCCATCTCCAACTCTACGAGAGTAGTTTTTATTACTAGATCTCCCCTAAAAATGAAGTGAGCATGAGATAGCAAGTTACCCCTAAACGCACTTGAGTTGCCCTGCACAGCAGCATCCTTACGTTAGGAAAAGGCAGTGCCTAACTTCTTAATAGTCTAAACTTACCCAGCAGGTTTCTAACTGCTCACAGGGGACCAAGCTCCAGCGCTGTTTAACACAGGACAGAGGCTTGAGAAGGGGACAGTCCGCAGGAAGGGGCTGCTCCTACAGGGAGAAACACACTTCTGCTGTTGGGCTTTGGAGAAAAGAGGTGCTATTCAACTCAAAAAAGAAGAACAGAATTCTGATTGCTGACAAGTATCTCAAGTTTTCATTTAAAAACCCAAACCTTTAGTATACATTGGTAACAGAAACAAGAAAAATACCACTATGCAGACAGATACAAAACCCCCTGAGGGTGGCTAAATCTCAGTCACTTTATAACAAGAGTTGGAATCAGAGGAGCTCAGTATTGTACACACAGTGTGGTCTGCAAACCCCCAGGGTTTGGGTTTGTCAACATTTGTTGGTGTTGGTTTCAATGCACTAAGGCACCAGGAAGTCACAGTTAGGCAAATGAGATCTTCCGTGCAACATTCAAACCCGAGACACTTACCACGTACTAAACAGACGGGAATATAGGATCAAAGTGCAATAGCTGGAGGACAGCACTGGAGCCAGCAGCAGCCTGGAGGAGGTGGAGGAGGAAGGGAGGGAGCTCTGGCTTCAGGTTGGATGCAGAGAGCCTCAGTGCAGGGATCAGAAACCCACACTGCTTGCATACAGCCACCGATGCAACAAAACCAACACCCAACCAGTTGGACACTTAACAGTGCTCTGAAGCCTTGTTCCTCCAGTGTTTCCCAACTGCTTGAAAAAGGCAACTTTCCTTTACCTCCTCAAACCACTGAAATATTGGCAAAGGTTCCCATAACCACCAAGACCAGTTGTAAAAGACAAGGAGGGAACAAAGACGGGGGTTTACAACAGGAAGGAACTGCCAACTCTCTTTAATAGTACATCACTCTGGCTAGCAGAATAGTCAGCAAAGCTCAAACCTTGCCGGATCCACCAAAATTATACAGCATTTTACAACTTGAAAGCACTGTACAGACATTGCTGCAAGGCTGCAGATCTCCTGTGTGTGTGCTTTGCTACACACACAGATTGGTCACACTTTACCAGCAGCTGCACATCTGTTTCCTCCTCTGGTATCTCACAGCTCTTCAAAGGGTTCTTCAGCTTCAGCTTCACCCCACGATGATCTTCAACGTCTTTCACTGTGCACAAAAGCACTTTCTGACAGCATGGAGTCCTCTTGCCATCCCCAGTAAATCACAGGGAAACCCAAGTATATTTTATCTTCACCAACACAGTTGGCATTTTCAATGACATTCCAGTAATTTGGAGGTTACTGCCATAGCAAAAAGGTTGGTTGGGTTTTTTTGAGGCAGATACAAATTTCTAAACTACTTGGTGTTAAGTTAAATTCACTCATTGCATCAGAAACCTGGTGCCTAAAGGTACGTTTAGAATTGCAATGTGAGCTGTGCCCTGCTCTTCCTAAGGATCTGCCTTGCAACCTATGGTCGGCAGCAAGTTTCTCTCCCTCCACGTTCCCTTCGCTCCCAAACCTGAACACGTGGTGTCCCTGGGTTGGATGGGAATGCCCCGGAGAAAAGGAGAGCAGAACCCCTCAAAGCTCCCAGCTGCTGCAGCTGCTCGGAATGAGGCTTGTCCAGGATCTCCAGAACAACATTCCTGTGATTTCGTCGTGTTTAGGGTTTGTCAATGAGGAAGAAAACAACCCCCACAGCTATAAATGCAACAATTTCAACTAACACAGTGTGAAGTCAGCTTCTTACGTTAAAGCAGACAAGACATCATTACTAAGCTACACCTTTCCTGTCCCCTTCAGGTGACAATGCTCATTTCCTTTGAGTCTCTAAACCTCTGAATCCACCCCGATGACTTACAGGCCTCCGGTTTTGCTCTTCTCGAAGAGTCAGTGAAGGGTTCCAGGCAACAGGCACTGAACTGTCACAGTCCAAGAGAGATTGGTCTTCACCAGAGACCATGGAAGCTCAGGTTTTCATCAACTCCATTCTGCTATTGCAGCACAACACAACGTACCATTATTCGGAGCTGGCAGTTGAGCCAGAACTAGACCCGGTTGCCAAGGTGCTCCCAGACTTCTCCAGCCACAGGCTGCCTGTGGGGTGCGTATCCCGTGCTGCTCCATCAGCCGCTGCTTATGCACACTGGTGATCAACTACTCAGCACAGGAGAAGAGTATCCTTTTATTCCAACGGAGAAGTCGCACAGATCAGTCCGTTCAAGACCAAGAGAAGGTTAGAACGTCAGAGCATCAAAAGCCACGCACCTTTCACTTGAGTTCTCCATCAGCACTGACGCATGAGATAACACGTGCTGCCGGAGGAGCGCAGCCCTTACTCAACAGACCAGAAGAACACAACTAATAGATCAAGTTGACAACACATTTGCTAAGATCAACATAACCCTGAAGGACACTCACGTAGGTTGGTTGGGGTTTGTTTTAGTGCAGTGCCAGTTTCGGAATATTGGAGAAAAAATGGTGAGGCCCCACACTTATGGCTGGCCTGGGCACATCCAAAGAGGAGTTAAACCACTTGTAGGACATCAGTGGGTATGTAGAAAGCGTGTATCTCTGGAGGGTTGTGTGACAACCCATGTCTCCTACCCAGGCTCCCACGGCTAGACCTGGGCAATAGGTAACAGATTCAAAACCTGCCAAAGTGACAGTGTTTTCAAAAGGAGGAACTAAGGTTCTACTACATCACTTACTCCATTGTTCCACCACTGCTCCGCCAGGTTTACGGCATAAATAAAAAAATGGAGAGGGGGGAAAAAAAAAAAACCAAAGAGAAAAAATAAATATGTTGGCTCCTGGGAAGTCAGAAGTGGTTTGGGCTGCGCAGTGGAGGGGGGAGAGATGGGGGCAAGGGGCAAATTTACACACTTGGAGACAAAACAGGAAGCGCCTGCAAAGTAGGAGAGGAGGAAGCCAAGAGTTTAAGTGTCCTCGTTCATGTCCTGGCTGTCTGTCCGAGCGATTTTCCGGGGTGGTGCCGAGTTCTCACCTTCTATTTCCACCTGCTCTTGATCTCTCTTCTTTGCTGCATTCTGTTTGGACAGAGAAAGCCACAGTGAAACTCTCCAGAGGCTGGGATTCTGGTGGGAATATCAGTAGAATGTTTGTAGAAGTTTTTGGCTGCAACAACCTGACACACTGGAGCAAACACCGAAGAGGGTTTTGCCCAAAGCCAAAAGATGCTGCTTCTAGATCGTTTTTGACATTTGGCGGGGGGACACTAATCCACCATTGATCTGAGCACCTTTTAGTTCTAGATCTCAAATACTGCATAAATGTGAGGAAGATCCTCTTTCCTGCTGCTCTGAGGCAGTCCCTGAACACCTCAGTCTCCCAAACCCTTCTGTCACCCACAAATACATTCTCTTCAGCTTCAAGGTTCCTGATGACTTTACCTCTCTCCATGTTCTTCCACGACCTCTGCTCTGGCCATGACTGCACTCATTGCTTCCACATCTCCACTCCTATGTCATCCATTGCCTTGCTCCCAGTCCTCCCAACCCAGGTTTCCCAGTCTCAAAAGCCGGCTAAAGCACATTAATTTGTGTGCTGCTCATACGAGAGCTCAGATTTTGTGCCCAAGGTACTTACGCAGCCACGTGTGCTCATGTTCTGCACAAGCTCATCTGCCTTCCCCTCGTAGCCCCGGGAGCTAAGAGCAGCTTTACCCTCACCATAAAGCAGCCACAGAGCCACAGGGAGACCATTTGCCAAGGTCACAAAGGAAAACTGCAGCCAGGAGACAGAACCGCAGGCTCCAAGTTCTAGACTAAACACTGAGTTAACATCCCTCACACCAGAAGGGAAGGAAAAGTTGTTTGGGGTTTTTAAGAACAGACAGAGCCTCCCTGCACTATGGCCTTCCTGAAGCACAGGCTGCTCTTTCTTTTCATCAACTCTTCAATCTTGTGATGAATGTCGAGCTCAATAAGCTCAAAGCAGCACATCAAGACAAGAATGTTGAAGGAAACACACGCATACCTTTTTGTCCCACTGCTGATGTAAATAGCGCAAGAGGATATTTGTCTTTTCTGTTACTATGACTGCCAAGAAAAAGAGAGAAAAACCCAGGTCACATTCAAGATCACAGTCTCAGAGATTCCATTTTAAAGATGACTTTCAAGATGGTGCAGTAATTGCCACGCTGCTTCCCATGGTCCTTCTTAATGAGAGGACAGCATGAAGGGACACCCATTGCTTCAGAAGGATCCAAAAGCACAAACCCAGGAACTGGACACACTCTGCTCCTCTCTGGGGTGGTGGTTTGATAAAGTATCACCTCATCTGAAGTTTAAACCAAGGGGGATTATGTGTACACCAGGTTTGTGGTATTAGATCTGTAAAAAGTTATTAAACCCCTCACAACTTTAGCAGGACACTTACTTTGTTCAGATGGATATTCCCTCGTGGGAAGATATACTGATGGTCTCCTATTCTGTAGAGGAATTACAACAGTTACAGGACAAAGACAGCAACAAGGTGGGGTTTTAAGCCAAGCACAGCTAAACCAACCAAAAGGCCCTTGTTAACCCAGGCTACAAGTGCACTGTGATATTCTGCCCTGGTTGTGGGACACTGTGAGGCTCCAGCTTTTTAACACACACATAGAAAGGAGAATGTCCAGTTTTTGACATGTTTTTCGGGACTCTTAAAGAATGGAGACATAATAAAAGCACCACAGATGTGGTTTGGCTGATGTGAGGCCACATTCCTCACCAAAGCAAGCAGGAAGTTTGCGTTGCCAAGCTCAGCTGATGAACTCTCAGCTGTGATCACACACGGGTTTTAAGAAACAAAAGCCTCATTGGAAGTTTCTTATAGTCCGCCAGCCTGTGAGCCCCGCAAGGAAACCTTCCCCCCCAAAGGATGTGGCAATACTTACTGATGCTTTACATACAGAATCCGCATGGAACCTGCTGAAGTTGCTTTTGTTGTAGACTGGTAGTCCTTTCAAAAAATCTGCCTGGAAAGACAAAGGACACACAGAAGTAGGTGAGGAAAGAACGTGATCATTGGCTTGAAGGAGTCACTCAGGTCATGCACATAAAGAGCTGCAGGAACCGAAGGATGCTGCCAGGTCCCAGCTACTGAGATGGTTCTTGGATACTGAAACCCACCCAAACTGCTTTCTCAAAGCCAATCCCCAGCTTCTGCATTTCATAGAGCCCCAGCCTGGTTTGGGTTGAAGGGACCTTAAAGCTCCTCCAGCTCCAACCCCTGCCATGGGCAGGGACACCTTCCACTAGAGCAGGTTGCTCCAAGCCCCCGTGTCCAACCTGGCCTTGAACACTGCCAGGGATGGGGCAGCCACAGCTTCTCTGGCTCATTCCATCCCCAAAGTTGAGTAATTCAGTGAGAAAGCTGCTGATTCAGCCTCTTTTGGCAGAGAGACGTGTCCAACGGGGGGAGCTCTGACACAGGAACATCTGCACCATTGAGAAGCACTAGTTTACCAGCATAAACCATATCACATGAGGAACTGCCCCAACCACACCACTGCCTGAAGTCCTTGACCACCACACCACAGCAAACCAGTTGCTCTTTCACTTTCCCAGTTAACATTCTTTGTCATAGGCCAAGGCTGGTTCCACGGAGCAAAGAGAGCCTCCAAAGCCCAATCCTTATCACGGGCTTATCAGCCTGGCCCCACTTCATTATCTTTTGGGAAGGATCCCATCCTGCACACATCAAGGCTCCCGGTACTTCCAAACCAAACTAAAGCCCAAGTTCTGCATAGCTGCTCTCCCAGCCCAGCAGAGCTGTTTGCTGAACAGGAACCCTGCAGAGCCCTCTTGGTTTAATGAAGCCGCAGCAGCACGGAACAAGCATTTCCTTCTCTGAAGTGAAACAGGAGGGTGGGAGCAGAATATTATGGGATCAAACAGAGAACTGAGCTTCAAAGTGTGTTGGAGCCCTCTGCTCACAGCAGAGACAAAGGATGATGGGAGAAATGTCTTGAAAAGAAAGAGAAGATGGGGAATAAATGTGAGATGAAGAGAGAGAAGCCCCGACATCTCAATCATTCAACCTGCATTAAAATGCTTCAAGATTCAAAGCCTGTTCCACCGAGCACGGAAGGATTCTGCTCCAGGACACACATCCCCTCGTTTCAAAGCAGTCTGAAAAGGACAGTGAAGCAGCAGCTGAGAAATGATTTCATTTCAGGGTCAGAAGCAACACAGAAGTGCTGCCAAAAAGCAGCCAGGGGGAAGAGATCGTTTTCACTTCACTCAGGTGAACCCTACATTATGAACCCCTCATCTTCCATTCACATCCAAGAGGCATGGATGTGCCTCAACCATTCCCATACGCTTGGGTTCAGGAATAACCTTGAGCTTGGGTTCAAACAGGGAACTGCAGAGTCCTCCTGCCCACCTTAACCCCCCAGCGCTGGCTCCCTGTGCCTTCACCCGCAGGTCCCCCAGGACAGAATCCATCCTGCACCAAGCTCAGCACTTCCCACCTCTGTCCTGACGGATTCTCCTTCCCCCAGTGATCCCGATGGATTCTGCCGTTCCCACTTCCACTGAGCAGTGAACTAATTCCACGACTGGTGAGAAGGAGCTGTAAAAACACCCCGTTACATCTCAAAGCATCTCACCTTCCTGGTGCACGACACTGGCTCCAGCAGCCTAAGCCAGAGCCAGGCACAGCCTCGACTGCTTGTTCCTGCAGCAGAACCTGATAACTCCTTGGGTTCAGCACCACGCAGAATGGCAAACAGCTGCTCTTATTTGGGAGCACACAGCTTTGAGCACCCCTTCAATAAGCTACAGCTCAGCCCAAGGTCCTTGCTATTCCTTATTTTCCAGCTAGGATTTGCTCCAGCAGAGCCCACATTTCCCTGGAAAGAGGCTGGATCCCAGCTCTCAGCAGGGATTCCACACTGGAGTTTCCCAGAAGAGTGAGTTATGCCCTGTGAATACTGTTAGAATTATCAACCCAAATGCAGTTTAAATGGTGAATGTGGGGTTCCCCCCTCCACCCCCCCCCAACTGGAGCAGGATGTAGAGCAGCCAAGTGCAGACTCCCAAGCAGGGAGGTTACAACACTCAACTCTAACAGGTCCCTGGCTCCCGGCCACCACCTTTCCTGTGCTCAGCAATAGGGATACCAAAGTGACTAAGCAGACGGGACTTCTCCAACCCAGCCCATGAAGCATTTGTCTCCAGTCCAACTGAGGAGGCTGGTTGTCAGCGACAGATAATCCTGCTGGATCCAAATCCCCCCTCAGGGGAAGTGCCTGGAGTCCGATTCCTGCCTATTCAGAAGGAGACAATACTACTCCAAGTGCAGTGATCCTTATCTGCTCCAAGGGCAGCAGGTAAATAAGCCCCAGGAGGTCACAGCTCCCTTTGCAGCCCTATGGGACACTGAGTCACATCTCCCATGAGGAAACACTCCCCAGGTGCCTCCTGCCACTCTTTAACCAAAGAAACTTCCCCCTGGCCAAGCTGTTGCCCCCAGCACCAAAGCCAGCAGATGCCTCATGTCCTTTGAGAAAAGGCAAACTCCCCCACAACAAGCGTGATTTTGCAGCCTTGAAGACAACACTGGTTCCTTCTACGCTTGGGGAAGTGAGGTAGAGATGGGATGCACCTCCTGCATCAACAAGGGTGCTCAGCTTCCTAGGCAGGTGACAGTCCTCACCTAAAAGCAGAAAGGTGGAACCCGCCCATATTCTCTGTTCCCTGCTTTTGACAGGAACTGCTCCAAAAGACAAGGCCCAACACACAGAGGTTGAAACGAGGGCTCTGCCCCAGCACGATCCACATGGGTTAGAGAGAACCCATGACCAGCAGCTTGGGAACAGCCACCTGAGCTCTCAGCCGTGGTACGTGGGAGACCACAGGGACTGTTCTTATCCTGGTTATTGAGCTCCTGGAGGGACACAAGGAAAACTCTCTCCTTAAGTTATTACATTGCTGCAAAGGGAGGGAAGGAGCCTCTTGGCTATGAGAGCATAACACCACCAGCCCAAGTGCCTGCTGCTACTGAGGGAGCACAAAAAGGAATGAACACCCTCCACAGCCCCCTTAGTGTGCATCAGCCCTGGGGGTGGGGGAGCACCCTAAGCCTTGGGGTGCTCTGAGCTCCCACTGCTGCTCCCCAGCCTTGGCGGG